TTAGTTGTGCAAGAAAATCTGGAATATTATCATCCCAGTCAAAATATGGGTGTTCTACTGCCATGTTTATTTGATTTAGAGGATTATTCTGTAGCGCCAAAATTTGTGCCTGCAAATTTAAATTATTTTGGCATTCTGCTTGAGTCTTATTTTTCCATTTCTCATATCGCTCATAGAGCCTGTCTCAATTATATTCTAACAGACCTATATCTCCTCTACTTCTCTGTAGGTGGTGGGCATTTCGCTGATACAATAATTGTAAGGCAAATCTTTCTTGTACCAGCACACCTATACGGATTTGCTTTCTTGTTATCCTATCTAACATTCTGTTAACTTGGTTTCGGCCATTAGTTCGTAACTGATGAAGGTTGGCAATAGCCATTTGTTCCACCCCTTCAGCATTTTGCCTTCGTATAATTTCATTATCACGCTCAGCCTCTGCATCATATCGCCTTCTCTGCTCACGGACTAAATCCTGATGCAAGTTATTCTCTTTTCGGCGAATTTGTCTTGTTGCCCTTTTTATTTGATCTATCAGAATATCTCTAGCCGTTGTCCTATTATCCACGTAGCCATCTATAGCATTTGCTAGCTCAGTGATTGTGGCCATATTATCATCGGAATTATACAAGTCTGAAGAATTCCCTCGTTCAGGTGAATTTTTTCGTGATGAGATGCTTTTGATCCGGCATCGCAATTTCTCAACTTGTTCCTCAGATTTTACTAACCGCTCTTCTAAACTAGAAATATATTTTCCTTTATCTCGCACATCTTTCCTAACTTGATATAGCTGATTTTTAAGGCTGGAGATTTCGGATTTCAGTTCTGATATTTCTTCTTCTGAAGCATTCTCAAGACGTTCTATTTCCCTATTGAGATCCTGAATTTCTTGCTCACACTGGGAATACTCTCGCTCCAGCTCTCTGATCCGTCTTTCATTCTGGCGATTACTATCAACTTCTGTCTGCAATTCACTATGAAGATGATAGTTTTCCTCCTCCAGTTCAGCTTTATATTCTTCACATGTTCTTCTCTATCTTGGATGAGGTCTGTGAAATGACATTCTTTTTTCGTGATTATAAAAGAGAATGGGAGAACCTTTGATTTATATAGATCCTCAAAAAGCGCGTGATCTCTCTCTTGTCCAAGGACTGCGAGAGAATATATTTCTTGGAAAATTTCAGCTGGAGGCCCTGGCCAAAAACAATATTCTTTTTTCGAATCTAGTGAGAAAAAAGGAAGTACAAGAAAAAAAAAAGTATTCTGGCTAATGAATAGAATCTGACTTCATAAATGCCAGCTTTTTTTCCGCCTCCTGTACCTGCATCTTCAGATTCTCAACTTCACATCGCAATTTCTTATTCGTACTAATCCGCTCTCTATATTCCCTTTCTATGTCTTGCATGAATTTTTCGAAAGTTCTTTTATTATAATCAAGGAGATGCTGGCGGAACACTTTAAGTTCATTCATAACCTGGCGATTCTTTGAAAAGAATTTCGAAATGGACAAAATTTAGGTAAGTAATTTTTTTCTTCTATATTTTAGAATGTTTTAATATTTTTTTTTTCTTTATTTTCTAGGGACGGACTCCGGAGACTTTAAATTGCACAGAATAATGATGGGTGTAATGTGGGGATAAGTATAATTTTATTTTTTTTTTAATTTTAAAAATTATTAGGAACGATTTTAACGCTCCTTCTTCTTTATTTTCTAGGGACGGACAGAATAATGATGGGTGTAGTGTGGGGATAAGTATAATTTTATTTTTTTTTTTTAATTTTAAAAATTATTAGAAACGATTTTAACGCTCCTTCTTCTTCACATTCTAGGGTCGGACTCATTTTTTAGGTGGCTTGTGAGACATCACACACAAAACGAAAATATCTTCTTTTTAAAAATAAATAAAAAATAAAAATTCAATGTGTATATTTATATTTATATTTCGTAATTTGAAAAATAAAATAACGATAATGATAACAATAACGATGATAACAATCATTCGGCGGTGCGATCAGAGTCATTATCCACCAGAGTCATTTGCAGTATGGTCCATCGCAATGTGTTATCCAGGGCACCGATATCGACCGACATGTGGAGCTCGTATTCCTTGTTAGAAACGTCAGCGAATACATTTCCGAGCGCTTCGAGATCATTTTCCTATATTCACACACAAAAGTATTAAGCTAAACAGACCACATAATACAAATATCGATACCTGATTATAACAAAATAGTACTTACACTGAGCGATTTCGTCGCAATTAATGTAGAAGTCACAAGTAGGGGTCGTACCTCCTTCGATCGAGCAGGAGATCTACAAGTGTACAAATCGTGAGCAGTGTGATGGCGCTTATTGATATTAATATAACAACTTACCGTGAAGTTGTACTTCTTGCCATCAACAGTCATGTCCTGGTTAGTCGCCGCCACGCTACTTCCGTCCATCGAGTTGAAAAGCGTCTGGTCAATCTTTGTGTCCTTGTCGATAATTTTACACTTGCACGAGTTGGATCCGACATAGGGCATCACAAAGTACAACGCGAACCTCCTATCTGGATGGGGAGAATTGTAGGCAAGCAGAACGGAGACCCCGTACGGGCCGAAAGGCGCATCATACTTTCCTCCGGAGCCAGTTGAATGAGCTGGAACGTCCTTTGGCTCCTCCTCTATGGTGCCTGCCGCCGCTAATATTCGTTTGTAGAAATTAGCAATCCAGGCCGTGTTGTTATGGACTTTGACCTTGACATACCAGTCGGTCGCGACTTGTGCTTCGGCCAAGGTCCGTACATTCTGGGAAGAGTAAACACAAAGCAATTAGTGTTATTTGACATACTAGCTGATACCAAAATAAAATACCTTGTCATGGTTGCCCTGAATCAAGGCGTCAACTTGTTGCAAATTGTTGGACATGATAGTTCAAAGAATCTGTTCACTGTGATTCTTTGCTAAGCAATTTGATTATTATTATTAAATAATAAATAAGGAGATGGGAGGACCGCGTGATATGCATGTGCCCTCCCGAAAAAAGAAACTTTTTAACGGTGTCACTGTACGGAGTACCAATCAGTGACAAGAACACTATCTCTGATCTAATTAAGTCAGAAATGGAAAAAATCAAACCGATTGATGCACCAATCACATCAATCAAACCCTTTACAATCAAAAACACTACATTCTTATCAGACAAATGGCAGGTCAGCTTCGATATCAAGGAAGAAGATTTTGATCCGGATTCATTAGTTCAAGATTTTGTTAATAGTTAGTTAATTTGTGTTTTGATTAATATAATTGTCATTTGATAATGTAATGAAATTAAATCAGTAATAATGTAATAAACTTATAAAATAATAAAATAAGTTTCGGGATATTTCGGTATATAAGTTTCGGAATCGGGTTTCAGGATTTCGAAAAAATAAATGCACTTCCGAAACTATGTTTCGTATATACCGAAACCTAAAGGGTTTCGGGAGGTTTCGGTTTCGATACCCATGTTTAGTAGAAATGGAAAAAATTTTTAGAGATTATTTTTTTAAACATATTTTATTAGTATTTTTTTATTTCCATCTAAGTATATTATTTATTAAAAGGAAATAAACTTTGCGAAACGTTTAATAAAGTAAAAATAAATTTAATTTTTTTACTAATGGAATACCCAAAGATTCTTCAAAAAGTCCTCACAACAATTTACAATAATAAAAATACACACTACAAAAATCACACAACATTTATCTTGTTATGATAAACAAAGAATTTGATGTGATTTTCCTTACGGCCCGTAAGTGAAATTTATCAAGAAAAAAATGAAAAATTTGCGGGACCCCGCGGTCTCGGAAAATTGCCAAGAGATTTTTTATTAATAAATTACATAGCCTATAATACATGATATTTCTACGCTAAATATACATGAAAAAATTCTACACTAACTATTATATGGGGGCGTGGAAACGGTAGGACTTGGATTAATATTTCAGGGCGGATGAGAGGTAGCTTGTTCTAATGCCTGCATTACAAGACTCTTATTCACGATCATTACATTTCTTAAGGTTAATAGTAAACAAATGAGAGATTTCAGGCGTGACTGGTGAGAGAATAACGGAATTTCTGCATGATCTAGATGGAAGTATCTTGGTATACCAGCCAGATCCTTCACAAGAATATTCAGATACATAGTTGTACCCGCGACCTGAATTCCCACAACACCAAATTGATTCCCGGCCGGTCTACATAATGCATTGATATAACTTGCCCCATCCAATGTTTCTCTCCATAACTTAACCTCATCATCTGATTTTTTCGAGTTACTACATACGATACGTGATGATTCGGTATACAATAGCTCAATAATTTTTTCGTCTTGCTTCAATAAACCCATAATGTCAGGTTTTTTTCCCATCCGCTCTCCAACTATTCCTAGATTTCTTCGAGCTTTGCTTGCTATACTTTGACGTTCCGCCGTGCTTAGACAAATAGCACCATTCGGAAGATCGCTCAAACTCGTTCGAAGTAAAGGAATTATGACATCTGCAATGTATGTCCCTTCACTCTGCTCACTGCGGGATGTACTGGTCATAAATGCGGGATTGCTCCATATTTCACTACTGATAAAAGAAAGCGTAATTAATACAGTGATGTTCCGTCAATTTTCGAATAAGCAAGCAACTTACATTATGCCTAGAATACGTTCCATTATTTTTACTAAATCTGTCTCACTCTCTTTCCATTTCTTATTGTGAAGTATGTTCTTCATAGACCTTGCATTCTTCGCGTTATTGTAAACTTCCACAAAATTAACACACTTAGCGACAACCGAATCGGGAAGGGCACATTTCATATTTTCTCGAGGTTCCATGAAGATGCTTTTTTGCCTACTTCCCAAGTTTTTCACGATGTCTGAATTATCACTTAAAACCATGCTTGCTTCAGGGTCTCGCCATGTGAGATCTGACGATTCTATACCCGCTAAACTTTGTTTAAGTGAACCATAAAGGTTTATGTCCGCTTCTGTTGTAGGATGCTAAGCACAAAAGCTTGTTAGTTTTAAACATAAAAAATCTCCAAACGGCGTAGTAATTACCTCGAGTTTAGATTTTAACATATTAAGATTTTGTTCTATTTCTTCCTGAGTATGGTCCAGAGGTAAATCTCTATCCATATTCAATGCTTTTAATGCTTTTAGCTCGCGAACACTGGTATATCCACTTTCCACCTACAGTAGATGTGATAAAAAAGTACCAGTACATTATTTCCATCCTAAATTCATGAATTATAACTCCCGCCACACGTGTGTTTTCAGGAATTTTTAAAAAAGCATATCATCATTATTTCGGCTGGATAGTCACGCACAGTAGAGAGGAGCAGAAACCCTCAACATCCTAAGACGTTGATCTTCCGGGCCGGCACTCCCTGACCTTCAGCTATGACATACCAAAACTAAAGCCTACATCTACTATAGCGTCATCATTAAAGTAAGAAACAGAAATAAAAGTCTCATTTATGCCATACCTGCGGTAATATTTCTAACACTTTAGTTCTTTGACCAAGATCTTTTATTTTGGATAGAGATGAATTGACCGCCCGGTCAACTATTTCCCGTACTTTGTCATATGGAGGTAGAATATTTTCCTCTATTGTTAAATAAACCACGGATGCCCCGCAAAGAGTATCAAATGATTCTTGTAATAAAAGAGCTTCAACCTTGGCTACTAAATTCGACATAATAAAAAAATGTTAATAAAAACGTATTGATATAATGTGAAGTTTTCAATGACTTAAACATAAATTTCCCATACCGCCCTTTTAAATGCCACCATTTCTCATTCACATTCTCTTCATGTTGGGGGGGGGAAGAGATAGGAGAAATATGCAAGGCACTTTACACCAAAATTTTATGTTTAAGAGTAAGACATGCGAAATGTGCATTGTAGATCTCAACATTGCAAAGGCGTTGGGGAGTATGCATATACATACTTTTTATTTCGCTTGCTCGACCGTTCAGTAATAAAGGCCTAGTAACATTATATAAATATACTCGCGCTTGTCGCTGTCGGAATCTAGTAGGAATAGCCTCTAGCATCGGAGAAAATAAGCTCATAAATAAATGCTATTCAGATAGATAGGGAAAAAAATTCGAAATATTTTGGGGATCGATTTCTTATGTGTGGAAATTAATTTGTCGCACAAGCAGTCACACAAAGTTACAGATGATTTGCGGTGTATCACTCATTACATCATATATACTTTAACGAGGATCGAAAACGTGCTAATTTATGTCGCACATGTCAACATGCATTGTGGCTAGGCAATATATTATCCCTTAAACGGTAAGAAAAATCAAGAGATGATTCGAGGAATATATGGGAGCCTCCAGATACTCAACAAGCCTATTGTCAATCCTGTAAATTTGCCTGCAAACCGTTTAAGGGATAATATTCGGGATCTGATGATCTGACACTGCAAGAATTTATATTCCAAGACGCTCACAGATTGATTTTTTAAACCATGAATCAGCCTTATATTTCTCAAATTCTGTAACTCTAATGAGATATTCAATGTTATCTTTATCAATATGATAATATTCAGGATTCTGTAACCACTTTAACTGGTTAGTCCAATCTGAACCTCTAACGATTATATAGCCTCGCTGGTATAATTTTTTAAAAGCAATACCATATATTACATTAGCTAATCTCACAGATAATTGCCATTTCTTCTCAATTATCCACTCATCATCTCTTGTAGGCCATGAAGGGGCGGGATAAGTATCACGAGGAGTTATACCTAAGAGTTTCTTTCTATCAGGAGTACCATCATTCCTCACCGCCTCCCAAATTCGTTTTGCCAAAGATTCGGGTCTCTTCTTGTAATTCCTGTAAGCTCGCTGGATAACTGTTGCATAGAAATTTTCAAACTGATAGTTATATCCTTTTGCAATCAAGAATCCCCAAGATCACTTCATTGATCTTCTGAAATACTTCACTAAAATAGTTATATATTAGAGGATCTAACCCAGAATAGACGGATCATGCATATCCCACATAAATTATACAGGTGATACATTTTACAATTATATTAGACGATCATGTATGCAGAGTAAAGCAAAAAAATAAATTGATTTATTGATATATGAATATGAAATATACTATTTTAATATTGATTCTATAGTCCGTAAAATTCGTTGTACATACTCACAGTTATTGTTAAAATCTGAGAAATCTATAATAGTTGACCCTCCGTTGAAAGTAGTAATATTGCAAGATTTGAACATGTCAATTTCTAACGAATCATATGAATAAGATTTACCATACGTTTTACAATAATATCACGCATATTCTGAAGTTCTAACAAAGTTTACATTGTCATTATTAAGGTATTTGGTAGTACGATAATGTTCAGGATTTGCTAGATATTTTAGCATAATAGTCCAATCACCATAACTAACGAATCTATAATCTTGCTGATATGATTTTATAAAAGTAACTATATATGCTACAGTAGTTAGTCGAATATATAACTGGTATTTCTTCTTTTCTGCCCAATCATGTGGAGTATAATGATAATACAATTCACGCAATCTAGGTTCATTCTGATGATGTGCAGGTACATCTCTGGCTAGAATTCTTTGACCAAAATAGTTTACATATCGATCATCAGGAATTCTTATACCACGAGGAGTTATACCTAAATACTTCTTCTCGTCAGGAATATTGTCATTTTTCACCATATTCCAAACTCGTTTTGCCTATGTTTCAGGTCCCAACTTGAAAGCTCTCCAAGCCCGTTGGATAACTATTGCGCTATTAATAAAGCGATGTGCAATCTTTTCCTTAACTCCGTATGTAGCGTGACCATCGAAATATTCATACGATTTTTTATATCTAAAATATATGTAATAATAAACTCTTTTAACCTCTTCTTCAGAGCTAAGCGCTCTATTAATTTTTCGTTTCCATAATATAGATCTATAATAAGCAATACGCCTTTCCTCTATTTTAACAATGCATTCATTCAGATGCTTATCTGCGCATTTCTCGGTATTTTCACAGATAAATACTAAGGAATCACATGCAGTGCAATAAACATAAAATGTGCGTCTTCCAGGTCTGAATTTCCCATCTTCGTATAATCTTTCAGTCATATGAATATATTCATTCTTTGAGAAGAATGTTGGATTATATTCGATAAGTTTCCTGAATGGAACCCGAATTCGGGAACACCACATTTTTGGCGTTTCATCACTATATCTATAATGCAGATTGTTCAACGCCTGCACTACTACAGGATTTAAACCAGAATAGTTAGTTTTAACCATTTTACAGGTGTAGGGAGTTTATAGCAATTTCACTGATTTTATTGATTTATAGCTGTTTTAGAGACTTATAGTGATTTATAGCAAGTATATTATAATAAATATCAGATTCATTTTTATTCGATTACACTCCTTGTTCAAAGAACTTCGGGATTTATAACTGGTTTTTTTTCTGACATAATGATTTGGTTAAAAATAGATCCGATCGCCGATGACTAAATCATAAAGTTTGTATCACCTAGCTCCCAGCACTTCCTCAGCAACTCAAATCACGAGGATCAGCCAATCAGATTTTGCGCGCGCAGTAACTAAGCCACCCGATTCGATTTTAAATCATTAGATATTTTTCATACATACATAATGATAAAAGAATGATAGTTTTTCTTCTTGCTCTTCTAATAGCCTAATAGTCTTATATTATGGCCGAAACAGCAAATCAATTACTAGCTCGCGTCGTTCCAGATTGCGCATGGATCCCTCCACGTAATCGAAGTTCAAGCATACCAGCTCACCCCCTCTTTCCAGAAGTCGTGAGACAATGGCCCTTCTTCTTCAGAAGTGTCAATGGACATATTAATAATATTAATAATGTTCCAAGAGGACAATTCCCTATATTCCCAACCGAAACAATACGTCTCAGTGTAGAAGGCGATGCAAAAACCCGTTTATATTTTAATGTTTTAGGGCCTGTCAACGCATTACTAGGGACACGAGGAGCAACATTTGTTTGGACATGTGATGGATTGTTGGGTTCTCCCGATTACATTCTTTGCACTAATAATTCCACAGTGGCTAAGATGCCTGTGGAAATGAAAACGCGTCATAATCTGAATTTAAGGGATCATGACCTGTGGGAAATTTATCGACATACTGACCGGGCTCCAATAATGGAAACAGATCCAAACTTTAGATTTAAAAAGAGGATCTTATCACAGGTATTTGGCGAAATGGCCTGCAATGGCCTTCATTACGGTATTTTGTCAAATTATACCGATACATATTTTCTCAAAAGACCAGAAGCAGAACCAAGAACCATATATGTTTCTCATGTCGTTCATCCTAATAGTGTCAATCCGACTTTACGCGAGTGCGTATTCTATATTAGCCATCTTGCTATTAATGATCAAGTCGGTAGAAGATTGGATCGTGTATTGGATGATATTAATTCATCCAATGGCGATGATAGCTCTGATGATGACGATGCCGGTGATTCTAATAATGGCTCTGGGGATGATTATGTTCCTGATAATGACGATTCTTCTGATAATAATGATGATGATTATCCTTCAAAGAAGAGGAAATGGAAGCTGAGTTCTTCAAAACAGACTGGCAGTAAAAAGAAAGTAGTTGCTTCATCTTCCAAGAGAATCGCGACCATAGATGGATATATAGGTGGCGGGTCTTTTGGGCAAGTTTTTTCTGGATATTATAATAATCAAGCTGTAGCATGGAAAACTTGTGACACGTATAAGAAGCAAGAAGAGATGAAAATGCTAAAACACGAAGCTCGTATTTATTCTGTTTTGAGTGAATGCCAAGGTATGATTTTTTTCATTCATTTTATTTTTAGATACTGTATTATTAATGTGTCTATTGCAAATTGATATTAGGTCATGCTGTTCCACACTTGCTTTATAAGGGTTACATTTATGGTGGATTTCTTTTTGCACTAGCGTTACAATTAATTGAGAGTGCACATCACGTTGATCCGGAAAGACTCACTAAAGAGGAAAAAAAAATAATAGTTAATCAGCTCAAGTCAATACATAATTATGGCGTCTTACATAATGACATCTCAAAGCAAAATATTCTATATGAACCAAAGAGTTGCCATTACTTTTTTATTGATTTTGGCTTGAGTGAGATCGT